CTTACCCGCTCCCGGACACGCAGGTGCGGACAGCGGGCTCGCCCTCTCGGATCCTGCTTCCTCGCGCAGCGCCTCATCTCCCCGCTGGCTGCCGCCTCATCTCCACCGCGACCCCCAGTCGAGCTCCGGACGCCACCCGCCCAGCCGCCCCGGGGACTCTTCCCTGGCCCGCGCCCTCGCGATCCCCGCCTTCCTCCGCCCTGCGGCTCCTGCACGCTCCTCTTCCCGCGCCCGCCGCTCCTCCTCGCTCCCCTCCCCCAGCTCCTCCCCCGTGAGGCTCCCTCCCCACTCGGCCCCCCGCCCGCCGGGAGGGAGGCTCGGCCCCTTCCAGTCTGACCGGGTGGCCCGGAGCTCCGAGCGCTCGCCGCGGCCGCCGCAGCCCCAGGGGCGGGTGGGCTCTGAGGAAGGAGGTGGGGAAGGCCCCAGCTCCGCACTCCTGTGTCCCCACCTGTAGGAGAGGACGGGCAGGGTCCGCAGTAGGGGCTGGTGAGAGGTGGGCCCTGTCCAGAGACTCTTGGAGAAAGCCTGGTCTCCCCCCTCCATCCCAGTCCCCTGTGTTCCTCCCTAGTTAGACATTTCCCCCCCCCTTTTATTTAACAAATATTCATTGATCTGTGTGTCATCATGTTCTAGGCACTGGGGACGTAACAGTGAACAAAACTGATGTGGACCCAATGGAGCTTACGTGAATGTAGTATGTAAAACACGAAGTGGATAGAGGTGAATAGCATGGAGGAAAATAAAGCAGGGAAAGGAGATGGAGAGTGAGGTGCAGGCTTTGAATAGGGAGGTCAGGGGAGGCCTCACTGGGAAGGGGGCATCTGAGCAAAGACAGTGGTGAGGGAATGAGCCCTGCAGAAATATGGGGAAACAACACTCTAGCGGAGGGCAGTGAATAGTAAGGAGTTGAGATCAGAAGCAGATTCTGAACAGGGTACCCAAACCCCCAGGTTCCAGCAGATGTGAGGGGTCCCGAGGTGAATCTGCCTGGTTCTGAGAACCAGGGTTGAGAAAAGACTTGAGCTCAAAGAGGAACAATGTGAAACGTCCACTGAGGAGGCACAGGGTTGGGCACCTCTGGTCTCCAGGTTCATGCCCTCAGGTGGGGCTGGCCTTCTGTCTCCTTAGCGGCTTTTTGTCTCCTTGTTCTTTGTGTATTTCCAAGGCTTGTTATTGGGTGCCTCCGCTGCTGGGATTGTGTCTTCTTGATGAACTGGCCCTTTCCTCATTATGAAGTGACCCTCTGTCCCTGGCAACAGCTCTCGTGGTGAAGTCTCCTTAGCTGGGTGTAGGGCAAGGCCAGCAGCAGCCACAGCCACTGGCTTATTTACAGCCCACACAGCTGTTTGACATCTGGCACACCCAAAACTCAGCAGTTCCTCCAGACTTTCTTTCCAGTGTCCTTCTATGTCCTTCTGCTCCACAAATTCTTTACCCACCTGGCCTTCCCCTCCTTTCTCCACACCGTCCCCTCCTGGTTTACCATTTGATGATTGGCCTAAAGCCTTCATCTCTCTCAATCTCTCTCTTTTTTTGGAAGGCTGTGATCAATGCCCATTAATAATGCAAAAGTTCTTTTCGTGTTAATGCAAGTCCCTGGCAAATAAATCACTGGCAAATAGACAGGAGTTATCGGCATCCACACCTTGGCCCCCTCCACTCTCCTCAGGCCCTGGGCTCTTTTCCCAAATAGGAAATAGGAAGATTGACCAATGTCAAATGTTAGACATTTCCCAAAATAGGTACTGCTGCTGATGACCCAAGTTAAAGAGTCTAGAGGAGGAAAGGGTCCTGTGTACACAACCCAACCATTTACAGCTGCTGCCAGGGTCCCAGCCTGAGATCTGCAGTGGGGAAGTTCACATGGCAGCACAAATACAGACATACCCAGGGGGTTGTGTCCTCACTAAAAAGACCCTAAGAGCCCCAGAAGCCACCCTGACCAGGGATGAGAAACAGAAGGGACAGGAGAGAGGGTAAACCTAGTACAGCATCTCAGCACGCGCTAACACAGCGCACATCATTTAACACTAAAAGCAGCTGGGGATGCTCAGTGCCACCGGAAAGCTGGTTTAAGGAAAAGGCTAGGTCTAGGGGAGAGGGTTCATTTCAGCTTCTCAGCCCTTACCCTGGGCCAGTGGATGTGTTCAACACAGCCCCCGCTTTCAGGAAATTCACAGTTCAGGAGAGAAAACTCACATGCATTTAAGCACAGCAGAGTTGGGGAGGAGAATTGTGGGGAAACCTGAGGAGCTTAGAGGAGAGCACACCCCACCTGGGAGGTGGACAAGGGCCACAGCTACGCTGAGCCTTGATGGGTGGGTAGGAAGCATCTGAGCAAAGAAGGGGGGAGGGAAGCAGAGACATTCCCTGGTAGAAGGAACACTGTTCCTTCATGTGCACGTGTGTTCATGTGCAAAGACACAAAAGCTAAAATAGAGAATTTGGTTCTGGAAACTGCAAGTCTGTAGATGTTGCTAGAGTAGGGGAAAGTGGTCAAGATGAAGCTGAAAGGGCAGGAAGGGGCCAGCTTATGAAGAACCTTGAATGCCAGGTGAAGGAGCCCATGCTTTACCATGAGAGCGGTGTTAAGTCAGGGAAGGGCTTTGAGCAAGGGGAGTGGCGTGATTGGACAGGGCAGGTTGACAATTCATGGTACTCTGATGCCCACGTGGAAATCATCAGCAGTCTCATCACCATCCCCACTGCTGCTACCATGATGAAAAAGACCTGGGGCAATTCCTGATCAGCTTCCTCCCCCACCAAACCATCCTCCATGCTTCACTAAGCAGGTTTCTAAAACACACAGGTCTCCTGCCTGGACAGGTCCAGTCCCTCCCCACTCCCTCCTGAAGAGGTCCTGACTCCCTTATCCTGGAATTCCAGGCTCTTCTCAGTCTGTTCCCACTCTATATGTGCTGCCTTCTCAAACCTGGCTCATGCTTTTTCTTCCATGTGGAAAGTTCTCTCATTTCCATTGGTCAGAATCCCTCTCATTTCCAGAATCTTTCATGCCTGCCTGGCTTACCACAACTCAGGGCCCAGCTCCAAAATCCCCTTCTCTGTGGGGTCCCTCTCATTCCTCCTGAAGAGAATTGGTGGCTCTCTCCTTGGAGGTCTGACTGGCAGACTGAGGGTTGAAAGTGTTGATTCAGTGATCAGACTGAGTTTGAATCTTGATTTCACTTCTCAGTGGCTGTGCATCCCTGGACAAGTTGTCTAAATTCCGTGAGCCTCAGTTTACTTGTGTGTAAAACGATCACAATTACAGAACCTACTTTGTGGAGTTATGTTGAGAGCCAGCTTAAAATTACGTGTCTAAGTACATAGTGCAGCACCCGGCACACTGTAAGCCCCGTATGAGTGTTTCCATCACTGCAATTGTAGGTGGAATGCCACACCTTTAACAACTATTTTTCATCCATCTCCTCCAACATCATGAGTTTCTGAAGGATTGGGGACGTTCACCTAGCTATGCCCTATGCCCAGCACTGGGTCTGGCACATTGTAGACATCCAACCAAAGATAGATGGATGGATTGATGGATGGATGGATGGATGGATGGATGGATGGATAAATTAATGAAAGAAGCCACTTAGACACTGTTGCTCCTATGGAGTCTACTCTGCTTGGGAGGTGGGAGTCAGACTTGTCCTTTTCTGAACAGGGTTGAATGAATCGTGTATCAGGGGACTAGTGTCTGGGGCAAGCTTTGTCATCAGACAGCCTGTGGTTTGCAATTTCTTTAGGGGAGAGCTGTCTAGACAGAGGGGGCATCTCCTCCAGGGGGGACTGCTTCCAAATCAGAATCCAGAGGAGGGCTTTTCAGGGAACCAGAAGCCCAGCCTTTCTCTGTTTCCTTCCTTCCTCACCAGTCAAGAGCTGACGAAGCAAGTCTGTTACCTGTCACAGCAGGGGAAATTAGTTCACAGTTTTGACCTGAGGACAACCAAGAGGGGTACAGCTGGCCCCCCACCAGCTAATGTCAAGGAAAAAGAGAAGGGTGGAGAATCCATCAAGGAAAGGAATTAATATTTATCGAGCAATTCTTCTGTGCCAAGCACTAGGCTAAGTGCTTAACATCCGCCTCTCTGTAACCCTGCAAGGAAATACTATTGTGGATTGCCACTAGGCAAAGAACCAGACACAGAAGTTAAGGGACTTCCTCTTGCAAGGGTAGTAACAGGATGGGACCTCAATTAAACCTAACTCCCCCGGCATGTGCTCCCCGCCATGAATCATGCATCTAGTCAACAAATATTCTGAGCATCTTCTCCCTGCAGAGTGCCAGGGTGAGCGGTGCGGGTCAGCAAGGATAATTAAGACGTGACTTTTACTCTCAAGGAGTTTATAACGTGAGGACAGAGGTTAAGCCTTACTTACCTTGGTATTCCCAGCCCAGGGAATTCCCAGTGAATGTTGAATACAACAGATTGTCAGAGCTGGAAGGGTCGTTGGAGTTCAAATATACCAATCCTGTTAATTTACAGATAGGGAAACTGAGACCCAGAGGGAGGAACTAGCTGGGCTCTGGAGACAGACTACTTGGCTTGAATCTCTGCTCTGCCATTTACCAGCTGTGTGACTTTGGCCTGAGCCTCAGTTTCTTTCGGAAAAAAAAAAGAATAAATAGAATTGTGAGAATGAAGTGAGATCATCCATGTGTGGGATTTAGCATAACACTTAACATGTAATCCCACAATACATTTTGCTCTGATTACAATTAACCGGTCACGCAGTGAGTAAAGATCTGGACTAGACCCTGGGCTTGGGACTCACAGTCCAGTGGCCAGTGTTCTTTCCAGCTCCACATGGTTCCTTGTGTCGATTAGTGTGGTCAGGGGAGCATGGGAGTCACCTGGGGAGGGGAATGCACGTGATCAGGTGTCTGCTGTCCTTGGGGACAAGTGCCTAGATGTCCCCGAGCCCATAGTGCAGTGCTTCCTGCCACTCCTCCTCCCCATCTTTGAAGTCTTCCTGCCCCCACCCCTCTGTTGACTGGAGTCCAGAGACTCATTCCTAACTAGAACACACGAGACTCCTGATAACATCCCACACCTCCCATTGCAATTTCCTCTGGGCCAGACGGGGTGGGGCCGCGCCGGGAAGGAGCCAACAGGAAATGCCCCCGGGAGCAGTGAGGGATGGATGTCCGAGGGCAGCCAGAGATATTATCTCCAGCACAAACCTCCTTGGAAGGAAGAGACAGATCCCACAGGAGAGGTTTTTCT